TTAACGGTTAACGGTTACGGTTTACGTTACGTTACGTTACGTACGTACGTACGTACGTAGTCGTTACGTTCGTTCGTTCGTTCGTTCGTGTCTCTCTCTCTCTCTCTCTCTCTCTCTCTCTCTCTCTCTCTCTCTCTCTCTCTCTCTCTCTCTCTCTGTGGCAGGCTTGAACATGAAAGTGTGTGTTACTATGGGGGTCGCTCAGCTGCTCCTATGGGCTGTCTGGGCAGGTGTGACCAAGCACCCATCACGCTTCAAACTATGGGCTGTTGTCTTGTTCGGAGGGCTCGCTATGCTTCTTGAGATCTATGACTTCCCTCCGTTTTGGGGATATGTGGATGCCCATGCTCTTTGGCATGCGACCACCATTCCTCTCACGTATCTGTGGTGGAGCTTCATCAAAGATGATGCTAAATTCTCAACTTTTAGTAGGCAAGGTGAGGCAAATGATGGCATGAAGGTAGACTAGATCACCTAATGCCTTATTTCCAAGGTATTGCAAACTCTAGATTTGGCTCAAATTTTTCTTCTCATCTTAGTGGTATTGTTCAAATTCTTTTGGGTTTTGGGCCTGGCTTTAATTGATGTCCCAATGTTGTAGGAACTTTCTTTTTGAAGGTCTTTTATGCTCTGAAGTTTTCAAAGAGTCTTGTTGGGCTAAATGCATTTGTGCAGTTTGTGTACACTATAATTCTATGGAAGAGTAGCATTTGCTTTCTCTACTGTGTTTCTGAATGAATGAAAAGTGAAGACAGAAAAAACTTCAATAATTGAAGGAAAAGGGAGAATAAGGGATTTTAGAGGACTTTCAGAGTAATTGTTATGGCAGAAATAACTTCCCATGAATGCCCTGTCTCTCTCTTTGTTTGCTTTTTATTAGGTAATTAGTACAGTGTCCATCTTTGTTGCAAACCATCTTTGACACAAATGCTCCTTTAGATGCGGTATTGTGACAATCAGGACAAAGGGCCATTGTGGTACCGACATTGAATACCTGTTTGATCATGGTCAATAGCCTTTTAGAACAATAAAGAACAACTTTAAAGTATTAAAATCTCTCTTGGGCTAGAGAGAGAGAGAGAGAGTAGAGAGAGAGAGAGAGTAGAGAGAGAGAGAGCTGTTTGGGATCGATAATGACTTGTTTTCCGATGTTGAGAGCTATTGGAGTTTTTTGAGATTCAAGGTTCTGAGTTTCTTGGGTGTTTGCTTTGGTTTGTTTGTTCTTAAGGAGCCCTTGGTCCTAGGGTAAGGATAAGCACTATTGCGGTTGGCTTTGGAAGGAGTTGTTTTTGTATAATCCGGTTAGTTCCCTAACTTCCTTTAATGCTATGTTACAAGGAGATAGATACATGTGTCAACGTATGATACAACATTAGCATTAAAATGCCTACCTAAACTTGGGTTGGGGTTGTGGTGGTAGTACACCTTTTCCTAAGTCGCACATTGTGTTCTCTAATCCCACGGACAACTTTGTATACTTAACCATTTAAAAGACGGGTAGGGGCTTGTATTCTCCATTGAATTACTCAAAAAAAAAAAAAAAACTTGCAGCTTTCTACATTCTTGTATCCCTTAGATAAATGGGAGGTGAGATTTTGAGTAATATTAATGTATATCTAATTAAATTTTTAAAAAAAAGAGGTGTCCGAAGTTTTCAAGTTGAAAGTTTTGTATCCTGTATATTCTCACACTCTAGAATATGAAAACGTATGTTCGTATTAAATAGTGAAAGTGATTCCGATTGAGGGACTGGTGGGGACCGACCTTACTCCTAATCAAAACTTGGAATTGGTCTGCTATACTTAAACATGTCTAATTCTGTTAGAGAACCAGTGGCTATCTACATAATAGCTCAATTGCCCCATTCCCATTCCCATCTTCATCCCCTTCATTCTTTATTTGTTTATTTCTTAGCTTTTCATATTTAGAATTATTATTTAAGTTTATTTATTATTTATTTATGATTCCCACATTACAAAATCAATCTGATTTGCCCGGATCAGTCTAGCAAATGACTGATCCAACCTCTCAATCCAGGTTTTAAAACATTGGTTAAATGTCAATACACCTTAGACGAACATGCTTATGTCGATATACCTTACTAGAACATACTCTAGTATCAAGGTCTTCAATTCTGCCAGCTAAACATGGACTGTGATTACTTAGAAGCCGGCTTGCCATTCACAACCGTGTGGGTCTTTGGTGACTGTAATGAAAAGATTACTCCGCTAAGTTTCACGTTTAACAGTCCACAAAACAGAAAAGGAAAGAAAAACAACAAAAAAGAAAAAGAAAAAGTGAGTTTGTCATTGTCCTAAGAATGCATATTTTAATTCCAAGATGTTTGCACAGGGGCAATTTGTTGTGGGGAAAATGTGAGTTTGCAGAGTTCTAAATAGATGAAAAATTGTTTCATGTGGCGGGGACTGCATTTCTGCATCTGCATCTTTAAAGATTAGTGAAAATACGTGGTTCATCTAAAAACAATTGAAACTAACTCCAAATGATTTCTTAATAGAACTAGTATTTTTACTTTTCAAAATTTATTTCATGATTTCCATGTTAGAGATTACTTGCCCTTAAAAATTAGATCCAATAATCCATCTAAAAAATAGATTTTTAAGAGGTGACTCATTTCGTCATGGACTTATAGAAGCTGTGTCCTAAATAGATACATGCATATCGAGTTGAGAGAAAGGAGACTTAGGTGGTTTGGCCTTTGCAATGCAAATTCAGTATAATACTTGTTTAGGTGGTTTGCCCATTGCAATGCAAATTCAGTATAATACTTGTTTTGAGGTGTGAATTAGTTCAAGTAGAAGGTTTAAAAAAATGGTTGGAAGTAGTGAGAAAAGATATGGGGACTTATGACCTCATTGAAGGTATGATCATTGATATAGTATAACGGCAGATCAAGATTCATATAGTTGATCCCAAATAATTAAAAAAAAGCTCTGATGATGATGATGATGATGATGATAAGGTGTTGATGTTTTTAAAAAAATGATGGTAAGGTGTTTGAATCATTTGAAACCGTGTTGTCAAATATGCCAGCCAAAGTTTTTGGCTTTAACTTCTAAATTGAAGTGAAACATACCAATATTTTTAAAATAAAAAAGTTTATATAAGGTTGCAACATTAATATTTTAAATTAAGGTGTTACCTCACAAATCCATCATAAAGGGTTTTTAATGTTGGAAAACCCTCTAATTGATTATCTCAACATTAAGATATATGAATATGAAAAGAAAAAAAGATTAGTGTATCTTGCAACACATTTTATGGACCATCTATTTTCAAGATTTTCATGTGTTTATAGATCTACTTGATATGATATATTTTTTAAGTTTAAAATTTTATAATTAGATATCAAAATAGATTTTCATGCCATCTTGAGAATTTGTAACACCAAAATTATATTTATGATTGAATTTGGAGGCACGCCATAATTTGATTGTTTAAGGTTTCCAAACCACTCCCTTTAAAAATTGTTGGTTGGTTCAACTATAGCCTTAAAATATTTGTCAATTAGGGGTCGTTTGGGTACGTGAAAATCTATTACGTGACAATAGATTACAAGGAAATATGACATTTACATTGTTTGGGTACATTTAATAGTAAGAAAATGTAAAGACATTACGCGAGATTAAGTGAGATTTCCCCAAAAATCACGAAATTCCTGTGAGGGTGAAGAATCTATTACCAAGTTAACAGGTAATCTTGGAATCTTTCGCGTGCGTCTTTGCTCTATCCCCGCCTAAAAATAATTTCCCTATAATTATTAAGGTAAGTAGAAAGTGAAAGTAGGGGGCCTAAAAATAATTTCCCTATAATTATTAAGGTAAGTAGAAAGTGAAAGTAGGGGATATGAAAAGGGGAATCTAAATTGATTTGAACAGGTGTAAAGATGACAATTTTCTACTGCTATCCTAATAAAAACTTTCTGCATCCCTCTCTTCCTAATTTGGTTGTAGCTCGCATCTAACTCTCGTATAAAAACAAAATTTTTTAATAATTGGTAGGTGAAAGTAGGGAAAATCTAAATTGTAAATAATTTCCCTATAATTACTAAGGTAAGTAGAAAGTGAAAGTAGGGGATATGAAAAGGGGAATCTAAATTGATTTGAACAGGTGTAAAGATGACAATTTTCTACTGCTATCCTAATAAAAACTTTCTACATCCCTCTCTTCTCAATTTGGTTGTAGCTCTCTTCTAACTCTCATATAAATTTTTTTTTTAATAATTAGTAGGTGAAAGTAAGGGGAAATCTAAATTGATTTGAACAATTGTAGAACTGGATGAGGGACAATTTTCTATTGCAATCATAATAAAAAATTTTTACATCGCTCTATCCCCAATTTAGGTAGTAGCCCGCCATCAGCTCTCGTATAAAAACAAAAATAATAAAAATAATAATTAGTAATCTATGAGAAATTACAAAACACAATCATAATAAAAAATTTCACACAACATATTCCTCATAAGATATTAGTAAAAGCAAATAAGATACCTCTTTAGACTCCTCCAATGCTTCAAAATTTTCACAATAAAATCATGTTATTCTAATCATATTATTCTAATGACTTATCATGTTGAAACCAAAGTCTAATCATGTTAACCAAACATAACCATATTTTTCACATTTGGATGGTAATGCATTTCTCATATTTCTTCCATACATAGCCAAACAGTAGTAATGTATTTCCCACGTTGCATCTACCCAAACAGTGACAATCCATTTGCAGAAATTCAAAAGTTATTTTGGCTATCATGATATAATTTATTATGGAATAACGTAGAAACACCTTTTTATGTTGGAAAAAGTTTATATAGAGCCGAGGCTCTAAACAATCAAATTGGAGCCTACCCCAAAAATTTCTCTGGAAGACGTTGTTTTGATACCCAAATATCTTCGAATTGATTATCTTGACATCAAGATGCATACACATGAGAAAAAAATGGATTTAAAATTTGTAAATAGGCATCTTATAATGCATTTTTGGACTGTCAATTTTCAAGGTTTTCATGCTTTTATAGATCTGCCGATCTACACTATTTTTTAAGCTTTAAATTTTATAAATAAAGATGAAAATATATTTTAAGGCTATCACAAAGATTTCCAGTTTTGAAACCATATTTCTTGATACTATTTCAAGGTAGGCTCTAATTTGATTTTTTAGAGCCTAGGCTCTATACAAACCACACCTTTTTATGTTTTAGTTCTATTTAGAAAACATTTGCAATCCAAATATCAAATAATTGGAAAAGCATTTATTTTTTATTTCTATTTAAGGAAGCAACTGATGGCATTCCCACCATTTGCCCAAGGGCGGAAATGCTTCACTTCCAGAATGGGTGCTTCTTTTCTACAACTTCCAGAATGGGTGCTTCTTTTCTACAACTTCCAGTAAAAACATATAACAATATCTCTTACTTTTGATTCAAGAAAGTTATAATCAATCCCAGCCATTAAATTTACCTTATTTAGTTTTGATATAACGGTGTTATCACAATCACCTTTTACTGTTAGATTTAAAATTAAGCGACCTAATAGTTAGGGTTAGATTTGAAATTGGGTGACCTAATGGTTAATGAAATCCAGTTGTTTGGGGAAATTGATTGAATTCAAAGTAAATGATAAATAATTTGAACTTTGTCATACATTCTCAGCTATCTAATTTCACATTTAACTATCGGATGTGATTGTCCTTTTTGTAAAAAAATATATACAAAGAAACCATTTACTTTTAGAAAAAGCTCTAAACAATCCCACCTCAAAA